CATTCCCCCTTTTTCCTCGTCTAATTAGTCTAAATCAAGAATTTCCTCCGCGAAAAATCCCCCCCCTAAAAAAGCTTTAAAAAATATTTACAGTAAATTTAGATGTGTCTCGCACCATTTTTCACAATCGTCGATAACAAAGAAGAAAATGATAAATAAAATTACTACGAGAATTTGACACTCCCCTTTGTTTTTTTTCACGTGAGAATATGCTAATCAACTGCCTAGCATCGCAATCAGTGTATTGTGTGTTCTAAGTTTAATTTCTTTCTTTTTTATTTTATTTATTTATTTTGGGGATTAAGAGAAAGAATGCTTGACGTGTTGGCTATTGAAGCTACGCTTACTATTTTTATCACTATTTAGTTATTGTAGATTGGCAACAGTGTTTAATATTGAGTGAATGCTGCATGAAAACAACTGGGTAAAAGGGTAACAAACCTGATGTCTGCTAATAAAAGTATACTGTCTGTTGTGGATAGCAGTTTTACTCTTATAAATATGATTAATTTAGCATAAACTTATTTTGTATTTTATATTTTCTAGCGTGATGGCAGAGCTACCGAAACTTTTTGAAGCCAATGAAAAATTTTTAAGGATGTTCCTCTAATTAATTCTATCCATGAAAAAAGAATATATTTTTTTCTTTCAGAAAATCATTTTAAATACATAATTAACTTTATTTTTAAGGATAAGATAATGCCCAAAATTTTAACACGTTATTAAATAATAGAAATCTTACCTTTCAAAAAAATATCTAATCAAGTTCCTAAACAACTTATACTCTTTATTCAGTTTGCGACGAATCAGAAAAATTTTTGAATTTAAATAAGCGCAGACAGCAGACCACGGCTTCGCTAAAATAAACTGCTGATAATAATAAACCATTTCGTTCATCATATAGTTTGTCTTAAAAATCACTGAGTGACTTTAAATGTAGTGCTGCATTTCTTTTAGCAAATTGTACAATAAATAAATTGCCAAGAAAAAGCTAACATAACTTCATAGTGCTGCCATCTGTTGTTTGAAAGAAAATTAATTTCTCAAGATTAATTTTATTTGTGAGAAGTGAAACTGTGTGTCATTTTCGATGTTTGCTTGAGACTAATCATAAAACAAACAAAGAAAACAAAACAAAAAAAGCTGTTTTAGCGGTTGACTTATAGCACAGTCTTTAAAAATTAATAGATGATTTGTAAACAGGCAGATAATGTAGTTCAGATTTAATTTTACATACATTAATAATTATCCTACGAAGAATTAAAAGAAATTGACTTATATTAAGAAAATAAAGAGAAATACCGTATTTAATCGCATAATTTCTCCCCCCATGTAATTTTCCCCTAGATTTTTCAGCCTATGATTTAGCATCTTCTGATTTTTATAGTGTAAAATGAAATAAATAGAAAAGTATTTTGTACAAGTCAAAAAAAAAAAAAAAAAAAAAAAAGTATTGAAATTGATAAATCCTTTGAAATACATAATATAATGATAATAGTGTACCTCTATATGTGCTTTTTAAGATTCTTTGTGTACCCTAGGTTTTATCACAGGAGAAGGTTTTTTTTTTTTTTTTTTTTTTAGTTTCACATTTTAATTTAGTTCAATTTACTATTTTTTTGGGGGGGGGGGTATCCTAGCGAGTAAAAAATATCAAAACAACCGACATTAAAAAGAGGTGAATCTCATTTCAATAGTATTCAATTACTATGGAAAGCATTCCTTAATATTGCAATTTTCAGTTCTTAAATTTTTTTTTCTTTTTATTACAGTTAAAAAAATGGGATTTTAATGACATATTCCCAATTTTTAGATTTTGTTCTACGAAATTTAACTATAGTATTTTTATTACCTTAACCTATTTGCGCAGAGCTATCTTACCTTATGGCGCTAAATAATTCCAATTCATAAATGCAAACATATATAACCTTGCTCTACTACAAATCTTACGACAGGTGTTAACATGTTTTCTGCTGGCAATAATTTGCATATATATATTGACAATGCAGCTGTTAAATGAAGCATGCATTCCGTATTTATTCGCAAAGTAAACGTTAAGGTTTAGATAATTTTGAGTGAAATTTCATGCATAACAAATTATACATAACTTTTAATATTAATTTTTCTGATTAAATTAGTCTAGAATGAATTCAGATGCAAATATCGGAATGAAACTCAATATACAGAAGATATTTATGTGTATTTAAAGAACCTTCATTAGTTACAATCCTACTGCACTAATTCTTAGAAACGAGAAACACAATATTTTCTAAATTTTGAATGCGCTGTAATAGGTTATGGCAATTCATACTTATTTTCCTGATATTCATTATAAATTTCGCGTACATTTTTATTAATAAACCCTGTTTTATAGCTTTGCTTTCTTTTTTGTTATAAAATGTATAATTAAAACAATTTCTATAATTTGAATTGCATTGCAAAATCTTTACACACACACACGCACGGGGGAAAAAAAAAAAAAAAAAAAAAATAAATAAATAATTAAAATAAAATAAAGTTTTTTAGATGTTGAATTACGTCCAAAGGGGCATTTTTTAATATTTTGCGTGTTACATTTATTTATTAAATATCACTTTCTTCGCACTTAAACCATAAAATTTAGTTCAAAGAGCAATGTTGCAAAATTAGTTTTAAATTGAGCATATCTTTAGAATTTCTGATACAGTCTTTAGTCACGAGCTGGAGATAAAATGTTTTTCTGTACAACGTTGTCATCGCTCGCTTTGAAATCCTCGAGTTTTTTAATCAAAAAATTCGCTAAAGTTTTACAAAATATGAAATCGATAATAAAACAAATTCCAAATTTCAAATTTGGGCTTCCAAATGCGAATATTCGCAGTAGGATTACGTCGTTCAAAATTCGATGGCTCTATGTACCGTTGCTTTATCACAATGCGAGAAATATACATACATTTATGCAGATTTTTGTTTATTTAATTTCTTCAAATATACTGACTTTAAATATATATAAGGACTCTAAAATTTGGTGGCAACAGTTTGAAAAGTGAAACGGACATTTACAGTCAACCAACGCAAAACAAACACAATAGTCCTTCAGGGACAAAGCCCCTTTGGACTAAAAAAAAATCCAAGTTCATAAAATACACATGGTTTGTTCCTTTGCATTAACATATGAATCGTAAAAAAAAAAAAAAAAAAAAAAAAAAAAACTTTTCAAAAATATTTTATTGTTTTCAAAATGAAATTAGAGATCGAAAATCGCCTTGTCGAGTTTTGTAAAAAAAATCAGGCACTTTCAAAAGCCTGTTCCCGCCTTCATATATTTTTGTGAAAGTGAGTTTCTGTGACTTAAATGACTGCTATAAAATGCCTATATCTATTACTTTTTTCTTTTCATTTATATTATACTATACAAACAAGTTAGGATTAAATATAAAGAAAGAGATTTGTTGATTTAAATAAATATTAGATTCTGACATTTGAATAAAAGCACGTGAATATAATATATAAGCTCAAATCTAATAATTAATTAATTTTTCACCAGAATTTTGTAGCGAATGCTCTAAATAAGCATCACGGAAAAATATAAGAATCACATAAAAGTTTTTTTTTTTTTTCGTTTAAGTATTAAATTTTGAATTATAAAAATTACATTTTATTACAAACTACTCGTATATTAAATTAATATCAGAGTAAAATGACCGTAGATCATTCATTGCAAACTTTTTTTATTTATTTTTGAGCCCGCCCCCCTTTTTTGGTAGCTTTTTGATGTTGCCAACAAGTTTCAGCTTATTTGCAAAAATGACTGTTTATGGCATAATAAATTTTAAATGGCATTATTAGCCCACAATTTCTTTAGGTACAGTTTTTCTGAAGATTACTACACTGAAATCTCTGCAATTTTATGAAAAAATACATGTATTTATTTTTCAAATGCAACTGATATTATACATGTATTTTAACTTACAATCGCAAAAATGAAATAGAGAAATATTAAAAAAAAAGTTTTTTTTTTGTGACAGCATGGAAAAATTATTTTATTTTTTAAATTGAATATATTTGGGCAATAAAACATTATGAGCAACAAATTCTTGACGAAAATGAAAATACACAGCAATTTTATTTCTACAAATGAATTATCCTTATTTTTCAATTATTTTAAATATTACTTGGACAGAACAGTTTAAGAACATTTGATTATTAATAATAATAAAAAATACATTCCTTAATATATTTGAACTGAAATAATTTTATGATAAAAAGTGGAGATAATGATAAATCCGATATCTGACAAACGAATCCATGTATTATTAAAAGTACTTTTTGGCAAACAACTATTGAATATTTAGCATAAATAATCTTATGACTTTTTAATTATTATAGTCAGAAATTACGCTGAAAATAAATTTCCACAGGTATTACGAGATTTGAATGATATCCAAATTTAGAATCTAATTTTAAGCGTCTTAATTTTAATCCAAATAATTTTATCGAAAAGTATATGCTTTATTTTAAAAATATTTTAAGTTCACAATTTTGACAATAAATCAATGTCAAGAAATTTGAAAATTTAAATCTAAAATATAAATAAAAGTATGCTACGAATGTAGCAGGTATAACACAGGGCAAAATATTTCGACACTTGTATTACATAAAAGTTTCATAATTCAAAGCGGTTTATTCTTTTACTTAGTTAACACAAGTAGCGTTAAAAATCCTTTACTCATCAATACGGACTTTACGTATTATTTTACGGGAATAAATATAGAAATTTCTTAATTTAATCACAAATCAGCTATTTGAAACCGTGGTAAATAACAACAAAAGAAAATAGTAATAGAGCGGTTTTAAGAAAAATTGTAGTCCAAGCGCCAGCGAAAATCGCGTATTAACTGCCGCAATCTGGCAACGTTTAACTTCTCTCGGTTGCCGTTAATCCTCGCAGCGATGAGATCTTTCCTGTAGCGCTTGAAGCTCGAGAACGGAACATTATATCGTCAAATAATCAGACTTACCGCTGAAGTTTCTTAAACGAAGAACCAAAAGCATGGTGGCACCGCTAAAGGAAGTTAAAGAAGAGGATCCGAGATCTCAAAAACACACAAGTGTTGCCGAGAAAAAGAGCGGCTTCTTAAGTGGCGAGCCCGCTGCAGTACACACACAGCGATCGACTTGATGACAAGAGAAGCAGGCAGCCAGATCGCGTAAAAAAAGTGCAAAAAGCGGCAGCAGTGGAATCGACCAGAGGCACTTCTTATCGTCCTTTCCACACACGAACCGTTTACCCCCTGAAACCCCTCTTTGCGGCCCCCCTAGCGGAGAGCCTCATTGGCGAGGTTTCGTTTCTTCTACTTCGGATGGGGCAGCAGAGCGGGCGTATGAAGCGGAGCTTTTAAAACGTGATAGCAAGGCGCGCGAGGGAAAGATGGCCGCTTGCACAGATTGGAATTGGATCAATGAAATTATCGACTGCTCTGCTCTTGAGACATTCGCTCGGTTTTTGTTTTTCTTTTTTGGGCAGTTTCGCTTTGATTGTGCGCTTCTTTCTCGCCCTCTCGTGCGCTGCTCTATTGATCCCTCTTCCCGAGCACAGTCATTATGCAGTTTAATTGTTTCCGAAGAGTCCATTTAGAGAGCTGGAAAGTGATGCTGGGAAAGCAGTGATTTTTGTCTCGGAAGCTTGGTTTACAGGGAACGGAAACGACAATTAACGGCATATTAAATATAATTTGTTTTCAAAATTCTTTACTCTTTTTTTTTTTTTTTTTTTTTTTTATACCCGAAAAAAAGTTCAAATTTTAAAGGAAATATTACGCATTATCACCGAAACTATTCTAATCGTTTCTTTCCAACGATTTTCATTGTTTAAAATTTTACATTTCTAAATAAATTCTTTAAATAATGAGTGTCATACAGAAAAGAAATAAAGATGCTCCCAGCGGAATTTAACTAACTACCCTAGCAAAAAGGAAAGACATTCTTCTTCTAGAACTGACTTCCCCCTCCCCACAAATGTAAGTTGAACTTAACTAGTCTGTTAATTCTATTGAACAAATAATAAGGATCATGATCTTATGCCATGTAAGTTTTAAATGATGTTATTTTTAAAAGCTTTTGGAGGTTTAGAAAGTTCTAAACAAAGTTTAAATAATACCAATTAAATACTTAGGTGAGAATATGAACAGACCTGCCTGATGGAATGAATCGTTCTTCATTACAACTCTTCAACTTGGTAGTGCATGTTTTTATGGAAATTTCAAATTCTTCTATTGCCTAAATTCCTGTTTATGTTACAACTCATTACTGAAAAGTCCACCCACAACCTCTGCTGATATGAAAATTTGTTCCCAGCAAGTTCCTAACACCATATAATAGGGCTCATTGTCTACGCCGACGACATATAGCTTTAATAATAAACCAGTGGTGTGAGGAAAATGAAGATCTCTCTCTCTCTCTATTGTAGAGGCGTTTTGAATCTTTACATCTCAATGGCATTTAAGAAGTATCGATCGACGTCGTCAGAACAATCACTCAGTTCACCGCTTTTGGTTTCATTTAATTTATTTTAGGGCATTGCTGCCAGACACACACCTAGAAGTGAACCCTTATTAAAGGCAAAGGACGAACCCCAAAGAAATACTTGATAAATTGACTCGGTGTGTGCACGTTTGTGTGTGTATGTATATACAAATAAATTACCTTAACAAATTAAGAAGAATGAAGACGAATAATATTTACAACGGAGAAAATGCCATATCTTTATCAGTGTCTGAAAAAATAACTTCGAAAGACATCCAACAAGAACAAACCGCTTTTTTTTACGTTATTTCTGTCTTGCGGAGGAAAAACACAGTCCGAGAATATACCAATAAAAAAACTAGAGAATGGATAGTTGCTCCTGATTGGCTCATCAAGGTTCAATAAAATGTCACCAGAAACAATCGTTGTGTTGTAAAAACGTTATATCGTCCAATGCTTCCGATTATTACCATGATAATATTGTGCGAAATGACTTCATGATAATACATGATAATATTGTGTGAAATGACGGCCCTGTGTTCCAAGTATTCTTTGTATTAATAGAGTATCACTGCTCTTATTTTGTTGAAATAGGTTACGAAAACTCTGTGTACTCGACAGCCTAACATATTTCGTTTTTCTCTTCACTCGGTAATAAAAACATTCGTTTCACTAAGTGTATAAAAACTATAAATTTTTGCTTTCTGTATTTTGTATTAAGCATTTACCAATATAATATTAAAAATTTTAATCAGTCGATATAAGGAATTTCTTAACTGTAGGTAGAAAATATATGGTGTGCGCATACTGGAATTTAATAAGAAAATTTAATTTTTAGATACAAAATCAGATAGCAATTATTTGTGTAACTAGATGAAGGATACATTGTTTACTCGCTGTACAAGAGGATGCTGGATAGAGTAAATATGCATTATATTTAAAGTGAAAGACTAGTCTATAAAATTATTAAAAAAAATCGGTATTTTATCTAGAAGAAGGGGAAAAACGCGCAAATATAAAACCGTTTTCATGCACAGCAGATAGCATAATTAAAAAGAAAAAGACGAATAGAAGATCATAAAATACATAGTGCATAAAAATTAACATGATTTCATGAATCCGTAAATCGTGTAATCTTGACACATAGATTTGTTCCATTTGTAACATATAATTGTCATATGTGTAATTTTTGAAAGTTTTTTTTTATACCCTTTGCCATAGAATTTTTTCTTTCATAAAACTTTAATTAATTTAAATGAAAACCAAAGAAAACGCCAGTCATAAAATTAAACACAAAACTGCTTCGTAATTTTTCTTACTGTATATTCTGAAATGATTATTTTGATGATTATTTTGAAAAATTTAAATACTGACTAATAGATTTGTAATTTTCAAGAAAATATTGTAACATTAACAAAAACTACCCTGTTTTAAATTCGAATATCATTTCAGAAACAGCAGTTTGGTTTCCAATTCGAACACAAGAGATATGGTAATAATTTTTACAGTATACCTGGAAAAGATACAAAATAATTTAAATTGAAAAATTGGCCCAATTTAATATTTTTGCAGTATTTAATTGCATTTAGTTTCCATCAATATTTTGTAATGATCTACGTATTGAATATTTGCTCACAAAAGAGTTAAAATTAAAAGTTTCATACATATAACATCGTTATTTTGCAAGTAACATATTCTGGAATTACTTATTTTTAATTTGGAATTACTTAAGTCACTAAAGGCATTTTAAACAGTTGCCGCAGCTAGGTCCACCTGCATTACGAGGCTCAGAAGTGTGCGCCATTATAGTAATAAGGATAATAACAATCTTCTTTTACTTTTGTTAACCTATAGAAATCCTAAACCTAATCTATATGTTAGTGACTCAAATTCCATTTGATGTCCTATGATCTCTGCTGACGGCTAATTGCAGATACACCAACTGAAACAGCAGAAACGGCAGCTAACAAGAGAAATTTCTTACTTAACTGTGACCGCTCAAGATCTATCAGTGATCTCAGATAAAAGGATCCGATGCACTTCCTACTTAATTGAAATTTCTGAAACACTCTGGATAGCATCGTTGTTTCGAAAAGCAATGTTATTGTTAATGCTGCCTTATTGGAAGAAATGCGGATTTTACTCTGCCCAACTGAATGGTTTGTCAACGCAAGAAACAGATAAACGTTGAAACATCTGGCACAGATATTAAATTTGTAGAGACATTAGGTTATTTCGATGCAGAAGACATGAAAAATTAGTTATGCCCTCGCCGGGACTCCAACCTCGGATCTCTCGAATACGTGCCGAGTATGCTGATCATTACACCACGAAGGCATGCTAAGAAGGTGGGAGAAATACCTTATAAGTTCTACACGGTAAGGGAAGATATAATCAGGCTAACAATGAAGTTTAATACCTGAAAATTGAATTAATACATGAAACAAATTCATAATTACTAAAAATGTCATCAGTCTGGAAAGTTACTAAATAATTTAGAAAATGAGCCTTACACACTAAACACTTTGAAAATAGTTCAGAAGTTACGAGACTGGGATATAGAAAATTAAATATGAACTGTCTTCCAATAAAACAAATTTCAACTAATCAAAAAAGGTTCTATTAGAAAAATAGATAATGTTTTCTACAAAATAATTTAGAGCATTTCCAATAAAGCGAATATATGCAGGGTGTTAAAAAAAAAAAAAAAAAAAGAAAGAAAAGAAAAAAAGCTACAAACCATACTTGTACTTCCAACTACGTTCTCAAAGTAAAGTAAATTTGTGAAAACAGTTACAAAAGGAGGGGTAAAATGGATTTTGTGTACAAAAATTTTAGCTTTTCATATGATGTTTGTACAGCAAAATACCAATTAAAAATAAGGCCATTATTCTTTTAGAAGTTAACTGCAAAACTTCAATACGTTTACGCGTAAAATTCACGAAGATATATGTAGCGAAATTTTATAGAGCCAACTCAAATATTTTGTTTTATACAGAATGAAACAATGAGCTGTTGCTTATATTAACAAGGGTTACAAAAAATATGTTCAGACAACTGAGTCATTATATTGAACTTACTCGTCAAATAGGCTATTTTTGATCATATTAAAAGCAATCAAAAATATTGAAACCATCGTACAAGATGGCAGTTTCTTAAGGACATAAAAACAGTAAAGTCGATGTTTTTAGTACTTTGTACAGACATTAGGTATTTTTGGAAGCAGGAAAGTTGAAAAATTAGGAACGCCTTCGCTAGGAATCGAACCGCTGTCCTCTCAATTATGCGCTGAGCGTGCAGACCACTAGACCATGAAGCTCGCTAAGAAGAAGGGAGAAATATCTTATATACGCCTCTTTTTAAAGGGTGACTGGGGTTTTTAGGGGACCCAATCGCCAAATCCTGGGTGGGGAGAATCATCATCCACCACCCTTTTAGTTCGAGAGCCATTGAAGAGACATTAGGTATTTTTGGAAGCAGGCAAGATGAAAAATTAGCAACGCCTTCGCCAGGAATCGAAACTCGGACCTCTCAATTACGCGCTGAGCGTGCAGACCACTACACCACAAAGACTCGCTAAGAAGGCGGGAGAAATACCTTATAACTTTTAATCAGTGATTCCATGTATTGAAGTTCTTTACCACTATTCTATTTTGTTGCCGCTTAGGTTATTACAATTGCAGTTAATGTGCCAGCCAATTAATTATATTATCGTTTGGGGAAGAATAATCCAGTTTTTGTTTGAGTTATTAGTGTATTATACTGTTTATTTTTATGTACGTTTGGTGAGGCCGATTACAACCAAATTACGAGGTGCACATCTACATGGTATAGCAAAATTTCAACGT